CTTATTTATAAAACAGTGGCTATTACGTTTATCGTAATATATTTACTAAACAGTATGTGTTACGACTATCTCCAATGCTCGAATACGAAAACTGATGTTAACGGTTGCCATATGGGAATTACGAGTATAATTTTGATCTCTTCTTGTTAAAGGCGCAGTATAAACCAAAAATATGCTAGTGTAGGCGTCTGCTACAGGGATTGGCAAACAATCCTAGTTGACGCTATAGTCTCCTGAGATTGAGTGATACACACACGCTTATATATATATATATATATATATATATATATATATATATATATATATATATATATATATAAATAATAACAAATATTAAAAAATTAAAATCTTCAGACACACTGGGTTTATAGATTAATATTCTTTCGTTTTATTATTATTTTATTTAGATTTATCGACTAGTTTCTGGCCAATACGGCCATCATCAGAGAAGAAATATTTCTGCTTGTTGGTAGCAGTAAACTACAGAAATTAATGTCTTGATGAAGAAAATGAACTTTTGCCTGTAGTTTTATTTGATCTTTTAACATGAATCTTTAACATTCCTTGTGTTCGTCAAAACAGTCTCTTTTAAGTTGTTATTTGAGATAAGGGCTGTGGATCTATGCTGCTCTTTTTCCCTGGTCAGTTTGAGAGTTTTATTATATATATATATATATATATATATATATATATATATATATATATATTCTGAAAGAAATTAATGAATTTTTATTTAATTATCATATATATATATATATATATATATATATATATATATTATCAACTTAAACGTTATATTGAATGGATACTCGTATTTAAATAGACATTCTGTTTATTTATTAAACAGTATATTTATTTATTTTCGTCGACCTGTTTGAAGTTTGAATATTCCAGAAATCTTATTAAAGAAAGATATACTATATATATGTTGGGAGGTGCATGTTCGTATCTTGCCAGTGTGCATGTGCACGCGAATGCGGGTGTATGTATATGACTCTGTGTGTGCGTGTGTGTGTGCGTGTTTGTGTGTATGATTTCTAAAGAATTAATGGATTCTATTTTTAATCCAACATTAATGGATTCTATTTTTAATCCAACATTAAAGGATTCTATTTTTAATCCAACGTTAATGGATTCTATTTTTAATCCAACATTAATGGATTCTATTTTTAATCCAACATTAAAGGATTCAATTTTTAATCCAACATTAATGGATTCTATTTTTAATCCAACATTAAAGGATTCTATTTTTAATCCAACATTAATGGATTCTATTTTGAATCCAACAATAAAGGATTCTATTTTTAATCCAACATTAATGGATTCTATTTTTAATCCAATATTAATGGATTCTATTTTTAATCCAACATTAATGGATTCTATTTTTAATCCAACATTATTCCAAACGTTATTTTTATGGATACTCATTTTTGAGAATATTCACTGCTTTCCTAATTTATTTTAAACAATGTAAATTACATATACGGGCCTAGCAGAAAGTACTGAGAAATGCCCAAATCGGTATTAAATCAATAAAATAAACCGGACTTCGACTCATATACATGTATCCACAAAACTTTAGAAAAATAAAAATACACACATATATATATATATATATATATATATATATATATATATATATAATGACACGTCGGCGGGGCGTAATGGTTAGCAAGGTTGTCTCGCTAGAACAATTACGACTGAGTAGTGGGTTTGATCTTCATTGGGTTCCCAGAGTCCCTTCGGCCTTTGTGCCACATCTAAACTACGCTTGGAAAATCTCCCCCCTCTCTCTCTCTCTCTCTCTCTCCCTATATATATATATATATATATATATATATATATATATATATATATATATATATTAGTATGAGTAAAAGTTTGTCACTTGCTGAGTGATGTTACCTTCAGCATCCTGACTATATATATATTTATATATATATATTTTTTTAAACGTTTCACCCCAAAAGCAGGGCTGAGGCCACTAGGAGAGGAGAATACAAAGATTTGGAGCAAGGCAGATAGGAAGCCACTAGACACAAGGGGTTTTCATCATTAGCAAGAACTATTGATAGAAGAGATAGAAGAAAAGAAGAGGAGAAGAAGGGGGGAAGTCCTACGATAGATCAAGGCAACTGAGATGTCGAAATTGATATTACATTTGAATAGCTGGAGATTATAGGAAAACTTATGCTATGTAAATGAAAAGTCAAACGCAATATTCAGGCTATGACATTGTTTTAACCCGCCTATTTATATATACTGATCAGTGGTGTATTATGGGTAGTCATGTCTATTTTATGATGCTGGCGGCTCTTGTGTGGGCGTTAACCAGTATGTTTCAAATTCTTCTAAAATCAAATGTGTAAAGGAAATAATTGTGGATTTGTTGTAACCTGGAAAGGGTTACTAAATGAGTAATAACTAAAACAGAGTTTGGAAATGAAATGGTAATCTATATAACATCAACAAAATACAATACTCGCCAGCAGCGTGAAGTAGGTAAACCACTGCTAATGGTGGACTACTTAGACAGCATATTACCTCCACTTACAATAGTGTCCAACGAATTTATGAGTAAAGCGTATAAATCCGTCCTTGGAGTAATTTCACGTCTACTTGTCATCTCTCAGTTGTGTCTCTGTTTTGGGGCAGAGTGCGCACAGTGGCTTTTCTGTCAAAGGATAGAGGGGCAACTGAGAAAATTATACTGAGAGGTAACCAGCCCTGGGGAACAGCTGCCCGAGCCCGCGTCCTCCCATTACACAAGAGATAGGGATCGGTGCTCCTACTGAGGCCAAATGCAACCGACGGTTGCGGGAGCTTAGGCAATTTTGTCCCTTGCCTGCGTAATTATTTTGGGTCCCACATTAAAAAAGACCTTGTGTCACATCTCGTCCTGTAGGGAACGAATAAACACCGTATTTATGAGGATTGTGACATACACATTTGTTTTCATAGGTACGGCCTCTCTCTCTCTCTCTCTCTCTCTTTCTATATATATATATATATATATATATATATATATATATATTTGTGTGTGTGTGTGTATTGTTGTAACCCTAGAAAAGGTATGTAAATGAGGAATAACCAAAACGGAGATTGGAAATGAAATAGTAATATTTATAACATCTACAAAGTACAATACTCGCCAGCGACGTGAAGTAGGTAAACCACTGGTGGACTATTTAGACAGCATATTACCCCAACGTATTTATAAGGATTGGGACATACCCTTAAGGTACGGCATATAACATGATTCGAATGGGGTTATTTGATATTATTTTCCTTATTATTTATTATTGGTTACGTAATTATTTGCTGATTATTATCATTATTATTATTACATTTACTTATGTATACGTTTCTTAATTCGCTTATTATTTACTTAATTTGTTTACTTATTTAAATCTTTGGTTTATTTTGTTTTATTTAATTAGTTCCGAGGGTTGGTTATCTTATTTGTTAAATTTAAAATATTGGCTTTGTATAAAGAATTTTACTTTATCTGCGTTGTATACAGTGAATATTATTTGTATGTTTCATGGTGATATTTAACAAATTATTCGTTTTTGGTTTTCGATTTTTACGTAACGTCGTTGTTTTCGTGTCTGTATTTACAGAAGCGTTGTAATTGGTGCTCTTCTCAAAATGTAGACACGAATGACATTAGAATAATTCGAAACATAAGCATTACTGCCTACTCAATAACCGTCAGAATAATACAATAGACCTTACTGTGTATAATACACCATTATGAGCATGTATATATAGTCGGACCAAAACATAATACACATGGCTTGAAGATTGCATTGTAGTATGAAACAGACTCTCGTCGCTTAGTGCTGATCTTATAATTTCATCTTCGTAATTGACCATAAATACTCGATCTGATTCAAGTCAGGATTTGATGCTGCCAATTCCATTATCTTCACTTATGCAAATCATTTATGCTCAAAGAATTCACGAATAAGCTTAGATAGATGAGAAAGAGCATCGTCGTTCTTAAATACTTCACTTTGAAATTGCGAGACTGGGATAAAGAAAGTCTTGTTCATAAAAGCACTATTCAGTTTAACTCCTTCATCGACTTTGAATGGTCCAATAATGGTTTGCTTGACAATCCCAGCCCATATCATAACACTACCGTCTCCTTGACGCATTCTTTTACCCACAGGACCGTCTGAATTGGATAAAATCCATCCTTTGACCCATTCATCAGGTTCATCAAAAGTCATTCAAGATTCATCCATGAAAATTACTTTAGAAAAGTCAATTTTCATTTATTTCTTGGCCCAATTTTGACACTTTAAAATATTTGCTTTAGTGAGAGGAGTTGACTTAGATTTTTTTACAGATCTCAATTCACAATTCAAAGAGCTGAGATCTGGTCAATAGACTTTGTTTCACTATAACTCGCTTTACGTTCATCTCAAGGAAGCAAATTCTTAAAATCTTTTCCTTTGCTTCAAGTTCTGAATTTATATTTTCAACAGCCTTCTTTATTGTTCGATGATCTCTGCAAAACTTGTTTGATATCTTCAATGTGGACATTCGCTCACTCAATAACTTTGTTATTTTCTATTTTTCAGCAATCGTTAGGTCATTCCTTTAAACTATGTTTCAATATATATTATGAACAAAAAGAAAAAAAATATTTTTATTAGATTTCAAAGGTTTTAAGCTAATATTAGTTTAATCTACATACTAACTTCAGTCAATCATAAATTCCAGATATCTCAAAAAATAACCATTATAAATTGCAGAAAATCTAGTTAAACAGCCTACTAAGGGGGAAAGGGAAGAGTTTAAATTTGTCAAATATTGGTTCAAAACATTTTGAGTTATTGAGGTTTATTTGATTTGTGTAATAAGATCAAACAGGCTGTGTTAAGTCAGGTGTAAATAGTTGCCATAAAATTCAACCGCTGAAGTTTAAACAGAAAATATTTGTTTGACGTTTGGTTGCAATGTTTTTTTTTCTTTCTTTAAAAAGAAAA